TAATTATAAATGTCAGAATTATGTTGTACATTTTTTCATTGAGTGTAGCTGAAAGAACTGTTATATTGGTTGGAAACGAAACATTCGAGGAAAGCAAATTATTTAAGAAATCCGGCCGCTAGGTACAGTTCGAAGTTGGGACATGTGAATAAGATGTGATTTATATTCGCTAAAGAAAAATAGTCACATGAGCATAACGGATTCACATCAATGCCTATTTTTGCCAGATGTACAGGAAACAGTTGTACAGATGTACAGTTGAATTTCATTCGTGTGATGGTAGTGGCGTAAAATCTAGCTGATATCAGTTATCAATTCTAGAGAGGTGGCTTCTTTCGCTGCCATCTACTTTTTCATTTCCGGCAATACCCGAGTGACCTTTGATTCAAATGAAAACAATGTCAAATTCATTACTGAAGAAGTAGGTACTCTAAGGTTTTCATAATTTCAAAAATAAGTATATTTTCATTGATGTATCTTGTAGTTGGTAAAGGAAGAGGAGGACAGATTTGGAATCCGATAAAGTGACTGAACTAGCTTCGCCATTAAGTGTAACCAACAAAAGAGCCTGAAGTATAGCATAAACCTCTGCTATGTAATCGAAGTTTTACTGGGAAGGTGGAATTGAGAAATAATATTTCTGTTTTGTATATAGAATGAACTTCCAGAACTTCCAGATCACTTTTAGACCCATCACAGTATTTTTGGAAGAATCAATTGTTCCCAGTACCGATTTTTTTAGAGCTTCATTGAGTATTCACCGAGAAGTTGGGGAATATAACCGTTGGTTTGAACATCAACATAGAAAATTCCAGCTGAAACTGAAACAAAATGTTCTGAGAGTTGATGACGCTTATTCTCTCTGATATTGCGGCGAAGGCTTCAGCCAACGGGGAATTATTTTTGTGGTTCCAGTATTGATTAACGAGATTTCCGTTTGATATTAGGTTATTACTACATAATTTGATGTTGACCAATTTATTGCAGGATAGAAAATGTCTGCGTAGGAGGAGAGAAGGTTCCTGAGCTTCCGCAAGTATAGCTGAGGTTGGAGATGATTTGAAGGCGCCGAGACAAATTGTTTAAGCTTTCGCTTGCATTATTTATAAGTAACAGTTTCGGATCTGAGACCGATCCGTACAATGTAAATCCGTAATCAAGTATGGATCGAATGTACGACTTGTAGAACAATCATGAAGTTCTGGGATCTGCCCCCATCGGTTTCTACAGACAAATTTGAAAATGTTCATGCCTTTTCCACATTTGGTTTGTGTTCAAACCAATTGTGATACACTTTGATACATTTTGATACACGTTGATACACATTTCCTGAAATTAACCCTGAATATTTATAATTGGGTACAACTGGGATAGACACAGAGCCCAGATTGATGTCGTCAACGGCTCTCTGTCTATGCCGAGTAAAGAACATCACGTCTCATGGACTGTATGGATACAGATATCATACACATATTGAATACATCTTATGGGTTGGTCGAAGACTTCGTGCTGGTTTGCTGTGTAGTTTTAAATAAGATAGAGCCCAATACGGCTCCTTGAGGAAGCCCTTGGTTGACAATATTGAACGAAATTTTCGCATTGAACCCAAAATTACTGTATTGACCCGAGTATGTTCAAAACAACTGATTCATATGCCCCCTGAAGGTCCCCGCGACCCCGCGAAATCCGTACTGAGATTAAGGAATTAAAGAATTATGTTCAAAGAACCATTCTGATCTAGACTTCACAATCTTTTCATATGTTTTAACAAGACACGATAAGCGAAATTGGTCGATAGGGTGAAGGGTAATCAGGATTGAATAAGCAGATATTTTTAAGATTTTTGTGATAAGTGCCTAATCATAGAATATGTGAAACTGTCTTCACCAGGTGCAGTGTTGCAAGTATTTTTGTTGTTATGTCTAATTTGGATGAAGTTAATTCAGAGGATATGCAGATTTCTTTTTCTATATTGTTTGAGATATTGTTATTGGTTCGGGGTTGACAAAACGGGGTCCTAAATAATCAAATAATTTTTTCATCAGGTCCGAGTGAATAATGGTTTCATTTGAAAGTTTTTATTTACTGAGAATACTTTTGACAAATTTCCAAATGTGCGCTGTAGGTGTATTTTTATTAATAATATTTAAAAACTTTCTCCAGCTTTTTCTTTGAAAATTAATTTAATTTTTGCCTCCAACTTTCAATAAGCATTATAATTTTTCAAATTATAAATTTGTTTGAAATTACTCAAAGCCACCTCTCTACTTTTAACTAACTCGAAACATTTTGTGTCCCACCGAATGGGAGAAGACTTTGAAAGGCTTGTTCTCAATTGATTGTGAAAATTATATTTCGATAATTAATTGTGAAAATTTGTTTTTTTGTTAATCAGCTATCGCACCTTCACAAATGGAAATCCTCAGAAGTCGTAACTTGTGCGAGCTAAGGACTAACGAGTTCTTACCTTTAAACATATGATTCCTAACGGACAATAGCAAGTGACGGGTGACGGGTTGGACGATAGCAAGTGACAATCTGGGGTTCAGCCTGCGGCATGAATCGTCGATTCACACATCGGTCGATTGACTGAGTGAACAAAGCACCCACGTCGAACTGCCCGGCTACCGACCGGTGTTTTATGTTTATTATTGAGGCAGTTTTCCAAAGTATTCCAGTAAGCCTTTTTTTCATTCCATATATTAGAAATAATATTTTTTTTGAATCACTGTTGTTTGCTATTTTGATAAATATCGAAAAATAGTCATAAATGAATCTAATGCCTAATGAATCATACTGAATTTTCCATTCACATCTTGTAGCAAGAGTTGGAGATGTTGAAGTGATGTCTACTGCCAAAGTATGAGAGTTCGGAAAGGTGACACGAGTAGGAGAGCCATCGTTAAAAACCACTAGATTATGGTTGTTTATAGATTCGACTAGGTTTATTCCATTTCTTTCATTGTCATTGATATACCATGTGGTGTGATGACAAGTGCAATCACCGTAAACTAATACCGGAGATTGAAATTGGCCTGAAAGTTTTCCCAGTCAGATGAAGTTATGGTATTATTATTAGGTGCTTTATTTAAGAAAATAACACATGTATTTTGGTCTGACCCCTCTGGACCTGTACTTTTAGGAAGTTGCTATGTTCGGACTAGTCAGTCCTACTGTGATTTTCTTCGATTTAAAGTCGAAATAAACCAGAAATAAACGTTTCAAGTCAATATCTTCATTTTTATCTTTCAAAAAATTGTCAATGTCGAAATCGTCTTTTTTATAAACAAACCATGATCAATTATTTTAACATACTAAGTGAACAAAAGTGAACATATTTAATTGAAAGCAACAACAGGCTATGTTACGATTGCGCACGGCTGATGTAAACCTCGAAGTGAAAATAGGTCAATTGAGACTGAGCCTATGGCGAGGAGCGCTTACTGCGCAACCTCTGCTGCAGGCAACCAGTGATGCAATTGAACCCAGATTTGTGTTAAATAAACTCCACAAAAAACAAATAAAACAGAACACTGAGTCAGATGCTACGAATGCAATACACATAAAAACAGACGGCTCAAAAATCAAAGAAGGATCAGGATGTTGAGTGTACTCCAGATCACCAAGCCTAAGGATTAAGTGGGGAACGGGAAAAAATACCAGCTTGGTCCAAACAGAACTGGCTGGTATCTCAATCGCCACAAAAGAAATAACCAGGAAAGGAATTTCTGGCAAAAACATAATAATCTGCACTGATAGCAGACAATCCCTATTAGCCTTGAACAGATAACGTGCTACCTCAAGGCTAGTACTAGATTGCCACCAAGATTTAGCCAAAGACTCGGTAGATGATAACATTATCTTGAGGTGAGTTAAAGGGAACGACAGGAGTAACAGTAATCGCATTGCTGACTCTTTAGCCAAGGAAGCGGCTGGACTAAGACTTTTATGACCCAGTGGCACCTACGACCTGATGAATTCGACAATTGCGGAACTAGCCAAACGTCACACCCATGCTCAATCCCTAAAGAGATGGGATGGAATCAGAATGCAATCTTGCCAGGATCACCCTGGGCGACCCTGAGAAGCTGGCGCCGAAGAACTATCTGGCGATTACCAGGAAAAATCTACGCTCAACAGTAGGATTTCTGACTGGCCACTGTCAACTAAGGAAAGACCTCCACAATATGGGGCTAGTGGATACACCTCTATACAGGATATGTGAACAGGAAGATGAAACTGCCAGGCATGTCCTATGCGAATGTCCGGAGTTATCGACAATAAGAGAGTGTGTGTTCAGCGAGTCTTGGCCTACACCTGCCGATATAAAGATGTCTCCCAGATACCTGTCCACCTTTCTGGAAAGGACAGGATGGACGATGACCTAGGAGGACAACTCCTTGGGAGGTTGTACAATGAGTCACATGTAGCCTAAGTGCTCTTGGTCTACTACACTCACCACACTATTCTACAGATACAGATACAAAACACTCATATTTGATGGAATTGATTGGACTGCACCATACTTCGGTTTCTTTTTTATAATTTTTTTTTATTTAAAAATCTCAATATTATACAGAGTATAATTCATTATAACATTGGAATTAAAAGATCGAAAATAACTTTTGAAAACGCTCAAAAGTGCGAACTCGTTTCAGATGTATGCATCTCTACGTATGAGCGATTTTGGTGAAATTGGTGACACGTGTTAATCATTATATAGGAAAAATAGTATAGAAATGTCTGCGGAATGCAGTATAATGTCCGCTGTATATAGACCTACTGTGATTCGAAAGTGCTTATTGATTATAACGACAAGGAGTCACATTGTCTGCTGCATAATTGTTCATATCTAAGCGATCTAAAGGAAATTTGATGGCAACTTTAAATTTGCCTCTAAATATTTCTGTTACAGAAAATCTTTAAAAATGAATGACTAAAATACGGGAAACTTATGGATTGATAGATACGTTGTGCATTTTCTTCTTTCCTTGCAACTCGAACACGTCGGTTTTTCATGTCCATCCCAAGTTTCCTCTCTTCTGAAGAAATCCAAACATTTTGATTAACTCAATTGGCCAGTTCTTTGTATGGAGAGTGACAAATCCCTGAAAGGATCAAAGGTTACAGATGAGTGTCCACAGTGTATGTATGCACTTCATCGTGGATTTCAATTGGCCAAAGATATTATCTACAATCTTAGAGTTGCATGTACCTACTCTAATAAATCAGCCATGACTTTTGTGCTTTTCCGCTGTCGCTCAATTTTTTGTTTATTTTCGTTAAGGTCGGTTTAGATTTCTCATCAATTCTACTAACGTCATCATGTCAATCTTCCAAAAGATAACGAAGGGACTCCTGAGCGTTTGAATGCGCATGACCCATTTGGAGTTAAATTGCATGAAACTGAATTAAATAGATTCATGGAAGTTGTTTTCGAATTTGTGAGAGAATGATAATTCCAGAATTTGTTTATTTTCCACTGCATCTTCTGAGAAAATCGAGAAATGATCAATCTGCTTACTCCATTTTGGGTGTTCATAGAAAATTTTGATTTGATTTGTGGGTTCAGGAATATTTCATCTAGTTTTTGAATAGACAAAAGAGTACCCAATATCGATGTGGCATTACTCCTTTGAATGGCGATACTGATTCTTCGAATTAAAAATGAATAGGCTTGGTTGTCATCATTCTTCTACAAATTTCTTTCAACAATTCAGAAACATGAGGTCCAAAAACACCAAAGATTTCAATTGCAACAGGAAAGAAACAGTAGAAACTCAGTAAAGGGGAGTATTTCCGACATTTCGTTTTTTCTGCAATCATAGCGGCTGCACCACCTAATTACACGCAGGTGAAGGTGAATTACACGCACCACCTACGCAGGTGAAGTCCCAAACCAGAAGTTTTCCAAATTTCCAAGGAATTAGACTCATCCCGTCTAGACGCTTTCCATCATCTCGACTAACACCAAGGGGTTTCAGAACTGAAGGATCCACATCTGCATTTATGACTAACACAAATTGAAGAACCTAACAAAGATGTATCGAAATTCTAAAAGATGCACCATCTAAGAGGGTGCCCAAAGAAGCCACGGGAAGAGCATTCAGCCAGGCACCAGATTCTTTGGACATAACAGCTTTGAGTCTAGCCATTTGAATATCGGAACGTTCACCTGACTAAAGAAGTTGATTATGAAACAAATTAATCATTGGATAATCCCAGGCTTTCTGACACTTTTTATTTTCTGGAAAGGTATTTGTATTTTGAGACAACTATTTATTTTCACCATGCAAGTAATATGCATCAGAAATATCAGATTTGGAAAGAATAGAGTTGATCGAATGACGGGAACTGTTATAAGAAGAAAGAAATGCTGGCAGTGAGAGGGACGAAGCTAATCGAATACCTGAACTATCAGAATTAAGATTGGCGTAAGATGCAATCGAATTCCTGTATGCAATAATTTGGGGATTGCCAAACAGTATTTTAATAGAAAATATGCTATATAAAAATGAAGACAATTGAGATGAGATGAGAATAGGATTGAAGAACTCTGTTTTGTGTGTGAGCCAACGTGATAGAAACTCTACAGAGAGAGGAGCTCCCAGTGTGTTCTGGGAACACACCTAGGGTATTGCTTTGTTGAATCCATCTCTGAAATAAGATTGTATTTTTTCAAAGTTCAAAAATGGTGAATTTCAATAATATTCCGTGGGTTTTTCGTATAATGATGTTTCTGTGAATCATGTTGAAGGCATTTTTATAATCTAGTTCAACAAAAATTTGAGAAGATGCATTGGGATGCTCATTTAAAAAGAGACGGGCAGCATATGCAACTGCTTCGCATCCCCCTGGAGTTGCAAATCCAAATTGAACAGGACGAAAATAACTTCCTAAGAAAACTGAAACATCAATACATGATAATTTTGCCACAAGGCGACGAAAAATGGTACCAATAGCAATGGAGCAAATGCTACCATCTTTCTTTGATGCTATCAAAGATGCATCATACAAAATAGGACAAATATCGAGATTCAGTAGACCGCTTAGCAGAAAGTGACACAAGGAAGTCAAAGAGGACAAAACCTTTTCAACTCAACAAGCAGAACTTTCAGATTTCAAGTCTTGTGAATGACAAGGTCTGAGGGAGTCTATTCCTCCTGCTGAACCAGTGCGAAATGATCTGAACGTTTACGACTTCTACATCTGATACAATTGCAGATTTGAGATAATCTTCAACAACAAAATTGAAAACTTCTTTAATGACACCCTTGCGTTGAGTGAAAAATTTGGGAATGTAGGCGACTTAATTCATTACGAAGTATACAGTCATAAAGAGTTTGCTATTGAATATGTTTTGAACAAAACCTCTGTTTTATCATGTTGAGATGATATCTATGATATCTTTTCAAATGCTGCCCTTCGATGAAAAGGAATATCCAACTCTCTAATCTACTAATGTTTTCATCAGCATGCTCTACAAAAACGATATACGGTACCGTGTCTTTGAATATTTGTTGTTGAAATCATATGATGTCTGCGAATCTGTTCTATTATTTTCAATAGAATCTGGAGAATTTTGGGCGATAGCATCATGAGAGGACGACCCAACTGGATCGCCCGAAGTTGTATCCATCATCAATAAAAAATTTAGCGACCTTTTTTTATATGACTAATATTCGAAATTATATTGATTTTAGTTGAGATCTCATTTTGGAAATCACGTAATTTACTAAAATAGGAAGTATTTCTCACTATACAGTGTCACCATTAAAGTGCGCACCATATGGGAAACTTTTTTTTCGAAAAGTTTCAATGAAGTTTAACTTCGGCACTTGTTTGTGCTTTGAATTTAATTCAAAATAATGCGGCCAACTGCGCACATTTTTAATTTCTCTTTGAAAGTGTCCGTATAAGTTAAAATTTATCAGAAAAGTTAAACTCCATGATGAATTTGTTATGTATACATGAATTGATGACAATTAACCGAAATTGTTTTTTGAAATAAAGGGGATAGCTGTCAAAAATAAGCAAAACGTTAACTTCATCCTAGTTGCATAAAATTTGGCATATGGATATAAAATAGCCGTAGACACAACTTTTTCAAGTAACTTTTTGTTAAATTCGATCTAGAAATGCACTTTTTCAATTTTTTTCAAAAAACAAGTTGAATTTGACAAAAACTGAATGTCAGTGGGTCGCAGTTGGCCGCATCATTTCAAGTTGAATTCAAAGCACAAACAAGTGCCAAAGTTCATTGCCGAACTTCATTGAAACTTTTCGAAAAAAAAGTTTCCCATAAGGTGCGCACTTTAATGGTGACACTATATCACTCCGACACGAACGAAAGACTATACGGAACTGCTTACAAAACTTCTCTGTTTCGAAGAAAGACAATGTTGTTGATTGAAGTTATATTATTGAAACATTTATCCATCGTACGACACATATAAAACCGATAAATATCCATTCACCAACAAAATCAAAATTCAAAGCCATCAAAGGAATTCGTACAAAACAAAGTATTCCCAAATTTTGATCGAATGTTATTGTACGTATAAGCGAATACATAAACATCTTCGAAAAAGGCTAGCTAGCCAATTTTACTACGGAGCTGGTTGTGAACCAGAAATACGATCTTCAAAACGATACCGTTAGATTATTTTGAAGATATTTTTCATTCGCTATCATTGAACTCGAAATAACACTTGAATTTAATTGTTACCGTTTGAATTCCTGGACTAATTTACACTGACGTTTATTTGTATCAGTTGCTGAGATAAGAATATAAATAAAGTATTGTTTTTGACTCTCTGAAAACCGAATTTCAAAAAATTATCAAAAATCGGTCATTCGGCGTGATATAAATATTACATTATACATTTTAGGTAAGATTAATAAATAACAAATGGTCCTTCGCTGCCAACAGAACTAATCTGTGATTATATGTCCGAAAAACTTCTGTTACGACGTAGTCAAAGGCTCAGGGAAAAGTCTGAAAGTCAGAAACTAGCTTCTCAAGTTAAGTCTTGTTCAATGCCATTGAAATCTCATAGTTTCATAGCTGAAAGAAGTACCTTTTCAAACGTAGCAGGAGCCAGAATGTGTCAAAAACAAAGAACAGTGAATCAAGACGTCAGCAAGCGGAACTTCGAATTTCCCTTTAAAAAAGAACTTGGAACAAGAGCTGCTTCAGGAGAAAGAAGAAATGCTTGATATTGAGTTAGCGTTGAAATTATCACGATTGGCGGATGATGAGCTGAATTCAGAGGAAAGTGAGTTCTGTGAGAGGGTGAGAAGACCTGATATAAATAAATGGGTCAAAGGAGAACATCCATGGCAGAAAATACCGCATAACGGATCTTCTTCAAGTGTGAAAATGGAAAATAAGGTAAAGGATCATTATTTGAAACCAACTATTACAAAAAGTGATCATCAAATACCTGATTCACAATTCAAAACATTTTTAGCACGACAGTCAATGCCAAAGGAATTTGCCAATATTTAGTGGCAATCCTATGGAATGGCCAAATTTCATTTACCAGTATCGCAATTCTTCTAAAGTGTGTGGTTTGTCTCAGGAAGAAAATCACTGTAGATTACAGAAGTGACTAAAAGGCAATGCCTTGAAAATCGTTCAAAGTCTACTAATTATGCCTAAAAATGATGACAAAATAATGAAAATTCTGGAAAGTAGATTTGGACAACCTCAATAAATAATTTTTATGCTACTCGAAAAGGTGAAATGTTTTCCTATCGTGAAAGAGGAAAGACTTGACTCACTGATACAATTTTCCTTGTTGGAACTATTGACTCCCTTAATGGAAATAATCACCTTCAGAGTCCTATTTTTCTACAAGAATTAATGAATAAACTTCCTAATTCATACAAAATTATGTGGATTGAAACCTATGGTTTTCTGTCAAAAGACGTTTCCTACAAAAAGACGTTTCCTGCCAGCGTTTACAGGGCGTAGTTGTGGTACAAAAATTATACTTTGACTACAGTGGATAGAAAAAAGTGTATATGTTGTGAAAAAAATTTACATTGTTTGAACTTATGTTGTACATTCAAATCCTTCTCTGTTCATGAAAGATGGAATTTTGTGACTTCCAAAAAAATAAAAAAAATACTAAAAAGTAATGAAAATCATGGCTGACACTGTGGCTATTTACTCACTTTACTTTAATTGGAAGCAAAAAAATTTTGTTTTTCTTATTTTGTGCCTTTTCATAATGTGTATGCCTGTAAGAAGAAGAATATTTGCAATATCAGATGATAAAAATGATATCCACCCATCAGATGATAAAAATGATATTACAAATTTGGAATCCACCTCGATTCCCAGTGAAAATGTCAATGATGTTGAAGTCAATTGTCATATTTCTACAAACAAACATATTCTACGCAAAATTCTACTGGTCACCGTCAGTTATAGTACGATAAATGTCAAAACCTATGCACTTTTAGATGATGCTTCTACAGTCACATTGATTGAAGAACAATTGGCAAATGAATTGAATCTCCAAGGACCTCAACAATCACTTAGTATTCAGTGGACTAACAATCAAGTCAAAGAACAAGAAGTTTCCAGAGTTCAGTTTCACAATAAAATCAGAAGAAAACATTGCGGAATTCCAAGTGAGACATTCGAGAACAATAAAAGGCTTATCACCACCTACACAAACTGTGGAAACAGGTGAGATTCTCAAAAAATATCCTTATATAAATAAGAAAATTGCCCCAATGATAAATGCCAAACCTAGAATCTTAATTGGTCAAGACAATTGGCTGTTACCGGTGAACAGAAAAATTATTACTGGACCATGGAATGGTCCAGCAGTAAGTAAGACATTGCTGGGTTGGGTTATACACGGAAATGTTCTAGACCAGGTACTCACAATAAAAAAAAATATTGAATTTGCTTGTTATACTCATGGAAAACAGAGGGATGATTTAGACAAACTTCACGAACTTGTAAAAGAACAATGGAATAATAAAATTTCTGGAGCAGATAAAATTGAAAAATCCATGTCAAAAGAGGGCAAGAGGGCACAAACCATTCTAGATAAGACTAAGAGAAGAATTGGAGACAGATGGGAAACTGGACTATTGTGGAGAAATGAAAATTCAGTTCTCCCAGAAAGCAGAAATAATGCGTTGAATAGGTTAGCATGTAGGAAAAAGAAAATGGACAAGAGCTTTGAGTATGGTAAGACATATGGTAAGTCATCCATCTTATGACTTTCTGAAGAAAGGGTATATTCACATACTCACGAAAGAAGAAAGTCAAATTCAATCTCCAAAATATTTGCTATCTTCCACATTTTGGTATTATTAACCCAAATGAACCGAATAAATTTAGACCTGTGTTTGATACTTCTTCAAAATCAAATGGCATCAGCTTGAATGATTGCTTAATGACAGGTCCCGATTTATATAATTCGCTTTATACAATTTTGATGAATTTCAGGATAAATTACAAGTGAAAGTCCGCCACCAAGATTGTATAGCTCAGAGGTTTCTATGGCGTGGACTTGACAGAAATAGAGAATCTGATGAATATGAAATTAAAGTAGTTTTCTTTGGATCATCAAATGGCCCATGCCTAGCGCAGGAGGCAAAGAATCGAAATGCTTGAGAATTTAGCGAGAAATTTCCAGCAGCAACGGAAGAAATCATTGAACATCACTATATGGATGATTACTTAGGTAATGCAGATTCCATTGAGGAAGGTAAGGAACTCATTGATGATATTATATATGTTCATTCAAAAGGTGGGTTTACCATATGTAACTGGATCTCTAATTCAACTGAACTTCTCAATCATATCAATCCCAAGTTGAGACTATTTGAAGAGAAAAACTTTCAGTCTAATTTGGAAAATGTAACTGAGAGAATTTTAGGTGTTTTTGGAAATCCCTTCAGTGATAACTTTATATTTCAAATGAAATTGCATAAAATTGACAATGATATTTTGTAATTGAAACGACGACCAATTGAGCGAGAAATATTGAAATTGGTCATGTCAATTTTTGACCCTCAAGGTTTTTTCACAATTCAGAGCAAAATCCTCCTACAAAATATTTGGAAAATAAAACTCGGGTGGGACGATGAAATTACAGATATTCTAAATGAAAGATGACAACTTTGGCTGTATTGCACTTTGGAAAGAAATTAATCAACCATTCAACTGCATTCGTTCTGTGATGCTTCTGAAAGAGCATATGCTACAGTAGCATATTCACGTTATCAAAACAAATATTCTGTTCAAGTAGCTTCTGTCAATGCGAAAGCAAGAGGTACCACTTTGAAACAACCTGTTTCAATACTCAGGTTGGAATTACAAGCAGCAATCTAGCTACTTAATTAACAATTTGGACTTAAAAATATCAGAAGTTATTTATTGGACAGACTCTGAAACAGTGTTATACCGGATTAGATCAGAAGCACATAGATTTGTGTCTCAACGTTTGGGGGAAATACAAAACCTAACCAAAGAAAATCAATGGAGATATGTCACCTCCAATGATAATGTTGCGGATGAAGCCACTAAAAGATATCAAATTTTGGATTTCAATTCAAATAGTCAATGGCCCCAAGGGCCTGAGTTTCTAAAATTTCCTAGGGAAAATTGGCCTACAGAGAATGAGAATAAAAGTCCAAGAATAATGGACAAAACAGTTTTTGAAGAAAGAAAGGAATATTTTTTTTTGACTTCTGTTATTCCAACTCCAACCACATTTTTCAAAATGGACAAAATTGTTAAGATGCTTGGATGCTCAGATTCATAAAAAGAAGTAAACAAGGAATTGGAATGGGAAGGCTAAAAGGCACGTTGATTTGAATGAAAACTTAAAGAATCTCTTCACAAAAGTGGAAGAACTAGAAAAAGGGGAAATTATATCAGCAGAGAAGCTATTGTATAAGAAAATCCAATTAGAGACATTTTCCGAAGAGATTAAATATTTAAATGATGATGTTCTGAAAGGTAGCAGTATACTTTACCCATTGCCTCATACTATGGATGAAGATGGATTACTTCGCTTACCGTGTTAGGAATCACATGTTGAAAGGTAAGATCTCGTTAGTCCTTAGCTTGCACAAGTTTCTCAACTTCGGAGAGTTGTCGTTCTGATTAACGGAAAAACAGATTCAAACAAGGAGGCTAGACAATATGTTGAATGCGCGAGAAGATTTCAGAAACCCAATAATTTTGGACCCTAAACATAAAATTACCAGACTCATCTTTCATCATTACCACGAGCAAGTCAATCATTATGGACAAGAAGTTGTTGTCCAGAATTTGAGACAAAAATATTAGATTTTACTCATTAGATAAGCAGTTAAATCAGTATGGGCACATTGTCAAACCAGTTAAAATCAAAGAGCTATTCCAAATATACCAATAATTATGGGACAACTGCTACCTTGTCGACTTGAGAGAACAATACGAACATTCATCAGAACAGGGATGGATTATTTTGGCCTATAATGGTAACTGTCAAGAGAAGTCACGAAAAACGTTGTGGTGTAATTTTTACCTGCATGGCCACCAGAGCTGTACATTTAGAAATTGCTCATAATCTTTCCACTAATAGTTTTATATATGTTCTGAGACAATTCGAGTGTAGAAGAGGATGTCCAGAAGAACTCTACAGATCAGCACAACGTGAATTCCAATTCTGAAGCAGAGAGGGATAAAAAACAATTTCTCACTGAAGAATATATTTTGGAAATTTAATCCTCCATGCAGTCTAAATATGGAGGATGACTGGGAACGTCTCATCCAGATTGTTAAAAAAATTTCGAAGGAGATGTTACAAACCAAATATCCTCAAAAATATGCTCTATGAACTGTTCTAGCAGAAATAGAGAATATAGTGAACTCACGACCTCTGACACACATTTCTCTGGACTCTGTCGACTCTGAACCACTCACACCAAATCATTTTCTAATTGGACCTTCTTATGCGGCAATGTCTTGCGTTGACTTGGCAAAAGAAAATTTCAACCTACTCTCAGAATGGAAGAGGTGGACATATGAATACCTTACATATGTGACAAAACGAAGCAAATGGTAACAAGAAACACCAAGTATTCAAAAGAACGATGTTGTTCTCATAGTTGACCCCAATGGTCCAAGAAATCATTGGCTCAAAGAAAGAGTTTTGAATTTGTATCCTGCGAAAGACAACCGAATCAGAATAGTCGACGTTCAGTTAGCTAACGGAGTCATTTTAAGAAGACCTGTTTCAAGACTTTGTGTATTGGATGTGACAAAAAGACATGAAGATTGAGTAATTGTTATTTTCTACCCTAGAACCATTACTGGGGAAAGAATTTTACTGTTTGAATTCCTGGACTAATTTATATTGACGTTTATTTGTATCAGTTGCTAAGATAAGAATATAAATGAAGTATTGTTTTTGACTCTCTGAAAACCGAATTTCAAAAAATTATCAAAAATTGGTCATTTGGCCTGATATACAGATATCTCATACATTTTAGGTAAGATTAATTTAACATTAATAATTGGTCCTACATATATTGCGTTCAGTTTCAAAGTAACTCACGTCTAATGTTCCTAACCAGTCGTTTGCTCCAACAACCAGAGAAACTGGAACAGGTATTTTAGATACATCATAATTAGGAGGTACAGGCTGACCATATCTTTTTATATTCTCTGATCCGCCAAAACTTCTGAGTCTCAATTCACCGCTATTAATCAATTGGGCGAAATGGGCCAAAATTCCTACAGGTACATTATCCTGAAGTTGTAGTAGTATGGGTGCATCAATCTGAAAATAATTTCAATAAAATCTCAATCTGGTAATTTTCAGTTTGCAATGAAAACTGAAAAATATAGATATTATTCTTTCTGGTATCCAAATTAGAAATCAATATGTTTATTGACAACAAATTTCTGAGATAAATCACTACAAAGATGTGAACAAACTATTAGTTTATATTTGAAAAATCATCAACATAAAAAAGATTGATTTTCTTAAAAATATAATCACTTCATTTTGAACTTCAATAGAGTAGTGCAGGAGCCCGTTGGAAACGCCAGAAAGACAGAAAAATATTAACAGCAAAACATTTATTGTAGAAGTAGGACCGTTATAAGAAAAGTAAATTAAAACGAGTATGGAAAATGAAATGGGGTGAATTATAGGGGGTGGAAAAGGCTTAGTCATGAACGAAACTGAATTCCTAGTAAAAATGTTGTATGTAATATGGAGATTTTCAACTCCTGTATGAACTATTTTTCTTTAAATCTCCTCAAAAATTGTTTTTTTTTTTTTATTTTTTCCCTACACAAATTATTGGGTTTCACGATAGTTGGTGGAAAGTAATTTTTTTGTGGTCCTTATGTCCTATGATTTTTTTTAATCAAGAGATTCAGTATAGCTTTCTATTCTAATGTTGAACCCAAAAAAGTTCTCACTTTCAGCAAGGGTATTTCAACATATGTGCTAAAAACAATTTTTAAATTATTAGTGGTATTAGAGTAATATAGCCGATTGTGGAATACTGTTTTGTTTTTTGGAAAAATAAAAATGAAAATTTCGACATTATAATTCACATTTTGGAATATAGATAGCGTGAAGTGTTACAAACACAAAACTGAAATAATAAAAATTATAAAAAAAACAATTCATGTAAGAAAAACAACTTAAAAATAAAGTGCACTTTTTCTCTAGCTGAAAAATGTGTGCGTAATGTGGAATACCAATATACGCCAATGTAGAATAGGTAATATTAGAATTGATATTCAAATAATTTGTTTTTTTTAATCAAGCAAAAGATTATTGGAAAATAACGTACGTTTATTTCTGTTTATTATAAAATACGAAAAACAAAACAATAAATTAACATAAAGAGCAGAAAGAACAAAATAACTAAGAACAAAAATCACAGATTTGAGAGTTTTTATTTGGCATCTGCACATTCTTCGTTTGCTCGGCAGTTGCACAAGACACACATAACCCATATTTCTCCGCGAGTAACATTTGAAAAGAGACCAATTGCGACAACAGGGCACGTTTCTAGCGGACAGTTTTCTTCATCGCCTGAAGAATTTTGCAATGAGCTCTTGTTAGATTCTGAGCTCGATGAAGATGAAACTCTTTTCTGACGTTGAGCGGGAATTTGCTGCTTCTTTTGTTTTTTTGGTTTATTTTGCACTCCACTGCAACTTGGTACTGCATAAAAAATTTTTTTCTTTACCATTTCCCTTCTTTCTATTCCTGAATTATCTGACTTCTCTAAATCCTTTTTATTTGGTGTAGAAGTTATTATTTTTGCCCAGCCAGGTTTTCTACCCTTGGTTGCTATTTTTTTCTTCATGGTGAGTACCGGAACAATGTCTTCTGGATTAACTGAAATTGGTGAACATTGCCTTTCTTCTCTATTTTCGCGATTGAGGTCTGCAAGCTGTTCTTCTTGAACTACATCATCATGATGTGACGCTGCCAAAAAATCTTCATCAGTAAAAACACCTCTTCTAAGCGGATAAATCTCTGTAACAGCAAAACCCTTAACAGCTCGTTCGGCGGAATGAACTTTTAAGTAAGCCCGGCCAAAAAGTTCGCATACATCAAAGTGATTGACAGCACGTTGATTTGTTCTCAAGAACATTCTAATTTCTTTATTAGAGAATGTTTCCTGTACCCCAATCACTGTTTCATCAAGGGGCTGCATTTCATGAAATGTGTGCGGAGAAATACAAAGAATTGTCACAAAATTTTCTTTAGCCTTCACGACAACATCCAGGTTCAGTATGGGTATTATGTCTATAGAGGATAAGGAGAATTGGATTATTTTCAGATGGACGAACTTTCTCAATAAAGTGGTTTAAGTGGTCAAACCAGGCAGTAAAAAGGTTAGTCTGTATCCAACCAGACGGGTGAAATTTGAACAGTCCTAGGTGGAGCACCTTTCTTCAATTGTTCGTTACAGTTTTTTCGCGAAAATATGATTGAAGGTGGAATAAAATTCCCTTCTGCGCTCATACACATTACAACAGTTATTAACGACCCCCTTTCTGCAGAAGTGAGGCTTCCGATCTGACGTTTTCCTTTCAATGTCACTATTTGGGGACGCTTCGACTGTGAAATACAAATACCACATTCGTCCACATTGAAAATCTGGCTAGCAGTAAACTTTTTTCTTCAAAAATCGTTTCAAGTAAATCAAAGAATTCATCTACCCTTTCTTTGTTGAATCCGGCAGCCCGTTGAGTTGATGTATCTGTAGGTTTTCTCAAACTGATTGATCCTTATGTCTATGAAGAAAACGCTTCATCCAGTTTTTTTCCTGATTTTTGGTGGAGCAAAGAAGATGGTTTTGATAGATTTATTCTGCCTAGCAAGTTGAAAAGCAATAGAGCATAGGTCCCGCCTTGTCAATCCAAAAATTTTTTTCTTCATTAACAGAATGTACTCTACCAGTTTGGTTTCTAGCACTTGAGTTGAAACAGGTTTTCTTCCCAGAGTCTCTTTTTCAATAAGTCCAACTTTATCATTTTTACAGTACCAAAATAATGTAGAGCGCGGTACTGTAATGTTTAGCAGCCGCTAAATATCTCATTGTTTTTCTCCGTACCGCGTGTACTGTCATTATCATGTTTTCTTCAGTCCACTTATGTTCTTCTACATTTCTCAGAGGCATTTTCTAAAAAGTGAAAAATATTTTCAAAAGAAGCCTCTAATGTGGAATATTCCACATTCAGATCCTACTTGGTATTCTACAATACCGATATTTTGATAATTTATAAAAAAAATTAAAAATTGTAAAACATCAAAAACAAAATAGTTATGAAATATCTAAAATATTTTATAATCAACTACTACCTACCTTCACGCATATACAGGAATCTTGCAAAAATGTCTATAAATAGAGTCACAATGAATGCAAAAATATGCGAAGGTTACACTATGTGTTCGAACCAATACTGGCAGTCGACAGCTGCAAAATGCTCCATGATGTTAGTAGGGGAGGTAGGGAAGATTCCCTCATCCTTTTTTTGTATCAACTTTCTTTCCCAAAAAAAAACTCACTTCTCATGGAAACACCCCCGTATCTTCCGTAATATTCGAGGTAGAACGATGAAACTCCATTTTTACGGTAAAACATACTAGGGGGCAAAATAGGCCCAAAATTCCTTCAGATTCGTGATTAGGACTACCAACTCACTACGAATATTTTTTTTTCCTGAAAAAATGTCAGTCCTGAAAAATCCGAATTTGTCTCACTTCTTATGGAAAAACCCCCGTATCTTAAAATTCGAGGTAGAACGATGAAACTCTCAAGACTGATGGAAGTGCTCAGAATGCATCTACCACCTGAATGGGGTTAGCCAAAGTGATATACACTGTCCGTCACTCGCGATGGAACACCCCATTTTTACGGTAAAACATATTAGTGGGCAAAATTGGTTCAAAATTCCTTCAGATTAGTGATCAAGACTACCAACTTACTACGATTACAATTTTTCCTAGAAAAATTTCAGTCCTGAAAAATCCGAATTTGTCTCACTTTTTATGGAAATACCCCCGTATCTTCCGTAATATTCGAGGAGGAACGATGAAACTTTCAAGACTGATGGAAGTGCTCAAGATGCATCTACCACCTGAATGAGGTTGGCCAAAGTGACATACACTGTCCGCCACTCGCGATGGAACACCCCATTTTTACGGTAAAACATATTAGTGGGAAAATTTGGCTGAAAATTCCTTCAGATTCGTGATCAGGACTACCAACTTACCACGATTACATTTTTTTCCTGGAAAAATTTCAGTCCTGAAAAATCCGAATTTGTTTCACTTCTCATGGAAATATCTTCCGTAATAATTGAAGTAGATTTTTTTTTGGTTTTGACATCAAAACATGAACGAAATTGTTTAAGATAAACTCGATTTTTGTTTTCACATAAATAATTCATTTTTTATTTTGTTGTCAGGAAAGTTATTCCTTCTCAATAAGAGAGAAAATGGCAATTTTATAAGAGAAATGGAAAAATGTAAACAGTAAGGTTTTAGGATGGTAAATGTTAGTTCATATTTTCAGTTTCCCATTATTTGAAGAAGAAAAAGTATATTTTGTGGCGAAAAATGTTATGTAGTTCAAAATTCTTTCGAAGTACTACTTTCAAAATAATATTTTCAATTAAAAAACCAAGCAATCAATTTCAAATGATTTAACGGTTGACAATTTTATATTTTCGTGCCTTCTATGAAATTTCTCTCCAATCAAACACATTTTTCTATGCGCCTTCTATTATTTCCTCCAACTCTTTTCAGTTCTCTGGGTGTGATTCCTCTACACGCTTGTATAATTCTTGCACGGATATCTTCCTTATTTGTTGGCCTATCCTTATAAACTTCATTTTTCAAGATTCCTCATAAATGAAAATTCTGTGGAGTTGAATCTAGGGATCGTGGTGGCCATACTACGAGAGGGCTATTGGGTCCTATCCATTTCATAGGTAGATAAATTCCTATTCAACCAAATCCTTGTTATGCCACTATTGTGAACTGATGAACCATCTAACTGAAAAATCATGTTGAGACACAGTATGATTTTTCACATAATTTGGACTACATCCAAAGGTAGTTCTTCCAACACATCGGAAAATGCATTTTCGAGAAAATCAACGAATAGTCGTCCGTTTAAATTTTGATCGAAAAAAAAAATGTCCCGATAATATTTTCGTTCAGGATACCACACCACACATTAACTTTCTGAGATATTTGGTCTCTACAATTCACCACCCAATTTGGATTTTGTTCAGCCC